GTGTTTAGGGACTGGGCGGGAGTTTTATGTAAGGGGTGTGTGTGTGTGTGTATGTATGTGTTTGAGTTGTGTTTAAAGAGAAGGAAGGAAAGAAAAAAAATAATACTTACCTAGCGTCGTGAGGTCTTCCGCGAGTGGATCTCGCTTTAGACCCTGCGATGCGAGGGATATGGCTAGCTGGGGATCAAGCGACATGAGCGTGTGAGCAAGGATGACTACGCTACAGCTTGTGCGATACCTGTCACACCTCCTTTTTACACCCTGAGAGGTATATAAAAGAGTTTTTTTCCAACTAAAGGACAATCGAAACGAGATTATATTATTAAAAGATTCAGAGTCGCCACTTGGGATAGTTAATGGTGTCCCAAGTCACCAGTTCAAATCCCGAATCAAGGAAAAGATTGACTCGGTATTACAGTCAGCGAACCAGAAATCCGGGTAAGAAATTTTGTTAAACCGGGAGAAGGTGTTAGGCCTTCCCGAGTTCCGTGGTTCTAGCACGGTCGCTCAACTGTTATAATTAGCTCATTATCTGATTTAAACATTTTAGACCTATGAGCAAATTTTAACTTTTAACCGTTTTTATTCATTTTAAAGAAGATTTAACGTCGCCTAAAATATGTCTTTGGATCGCGCCACATGAAATGCACCCGCAATCTGAAACACATTTTATTCAACGTTATTAGGATTTGGATTTGGGTCACATGAAATGCACACCCGAATTTAAGGAAATCAATTATTAAAATAACGCGCCTAAAATGACTACGCGTTTGCAATTTGCGAGGGCCATGGAATTTCAACTAAACGACACGCCTCGAATTCTAAGGATCAATACAAGATTAATTAAATGAGGGCCATGCAATTGTCATTTTTGTTTGGCACGGCTCACCTCAATTCTGATTTTAAAAGAAAGAAAGAAAGTTCGAGCTAAGTGTTTTGAGGGCCATAAACTATTTTATTTGATATGGCGCACCTCTATTTATTCTAACTTCTAGACTTAACCATGAGGGCCATAACTATTTATGTTAAATACGGCACACCTCAACTGATTAATTAAAAGAGCAAGAAAGGTTGTCACTAATTTTAGGCTAAACGCTTGGACCAAGATAAAACCAATAATCCCAAGTCAAGATAACCGCAGGAGGGGCATGAGTGTTTTGTTATAGTGCAAGGATCCTGGGCCCAAACAGTTGTCCCTACATATAGAAGGAAAAAATAGGAAATAAAAAACGACAGGCTTACATCCCAGGCCCAGCGTGAACCCCGAATTTGGAGCCTGAGCATCACCAAATGCTGGACTCAAGATCGAGTCTCCAAGCACGTGAAACATCCAATTATACTTGAGTCAATGTGATCCCAGCTTTTACAAATAAAATGAATATCCCAAAGTAAACCTGGCCATTTGGGCTTTCATTAGTTGGGCCAGCCTCCAGCCCAAACCTCAAGACCAAGTCTTCATGCACAGTTACTACTTACATCCCAATTAGAAACCACCTAAAAATGAAATTGAACTTTGTTTTCCAAGTTTTAAACCATTAATTGAACATTTTGAATTATAACCCACGAGTTCCACTTACACATGCTCATAATCAAACCAAAATAAACTAAACCTATTATTGAAATACTATGGATCATTTTTCTTTAAAGCACAATTACAATACCCAGGAATCCAATAATACACTCGGCCAAACCAATGGATGAGCACACGCTCAACTCAACACGATTAACATATTACCAAAACTAGAAAAGACTACTCAGCAGCCAAGTCCAAACACCTATCTACAGTTACCAGACTCCTCAAACATGTGTGTACGACCGGAAATTAGATAACAAATTGTCCCTTCAGTCTTACAATAGTCCCAAATAAGATACAACAGGCCAAAAACTTATCCACTTAACACAGAGATTGATTAAAACGGTATAGCATGCCAAATAAGAAAAGAAATACAAAGTAAAACATAATTAAATCAGAAAAAAACTGAAATTATGCTTTAAAATCCTTCTTTCTCATTTTATTCTTCAACTCAAAGCTTAACCAAAACATGTAGAGTTTCAGGAGACATGTACCTGTGAATGAAAAGGCAAAGGGAAAAGTAAGGAATCAACAGTATGCAGAAATCAACACCAGTAGCAGAACAGTCCCAGATTCAACTAAACTCAGCAGTGAAATTGAACCAGAAGAAGGAAACCTATTCAACAACTTGAACTAAATCTTGCACCAACCAAGTTTAAACCATTTTTGACATCAATTAGGATCAGCTATTGTTTAGAAGATGAATGAAAACTTCAAAGTTCAAAACCAAAATTCTAATGGAACAGTAGTTTTCTTTAAATTTCAGTCGTTTGCTGTTTTTCAGAATTCTCTCTCTCTCATCTCTGCCTTGAAAGGCAAGAAAGTATGTCTTTATAGGCAAGGGAAGTAGGGCAGCCTAGAAAAGTTCAGTTTTGCAATTAGGCCTTTTTCCTATTTTTGTTTTTGCCTAGATCAGATTTTCAAAAAACAGTCCAAAAGCTAGCTTCTCAAAAGCTTCTTAGGCAGTTAACTAAGATTCCCCTAGGCTAATTGCCCAGATTACCCCCTCACACCCTTGTTTCTTACTACCGTAAACCCAAATGGGTACGGGTCATTTTGACCCAAGGTTTTAATTTAACCAAACAGACTAAATCCCTCCCTTTTGACCCAAAGCAAATCCAGTTTTCACAAGAATCAATTGGGCAGAAAATAAACGGGCAAGGGAATTCAAAGGTCCCTTGGCCCAAAATCTCAAATTAGCCCACAACACTAAAAACTAATAGCAATTGACAAAACTAATACAACGAATCCAAATAGACTAAATAAAGTAAAAACAAATGTCAATTAAGCCTTACTAAACGGGACACATGTGAAATGATTTTAGGGAAAAAAATCATTTCGCTAAAAATGATTTTAGAGAAGAAGAAGAAATTGATTCCAAACTCAAACCTTCAAAACCTCGCCGATTCGGACTTTTTGGGATTTTAGGGTTGTCTCTTCAAATCAAGATTCGAGAAGTTACGTTAAGATTCTAGGGTAGCGGATTATAGATTAGGGAAGAAGGAGCCGGGGTGGGTCTGTGGTGCGATTTTGGTGGGGATTGGGAGTGGCGCCGCCACCTTAAGGCGGTGGGAATTAGGGGCGGCGGGTTAGGGTTCCGTAAAATTTGGTCTCTGAAGGAGAGTGAATTGGGAGAGATGATATGGGGGGTAGTGGAGTTCAGACACTAATATAATAATCCCCACCCTAGTTCCCAACTGTAGGATCAGATAAATAAATGCCCCAGATCGATCACGACCAAACAAGGTCATTTTGATTAATGCTGAGAGAGGCTGGGTCCTGGGGCGGGTTTGGACGGGTTTCTGATGGGTAAGAGATTGGGTTAAGGGGTTTGTTTGGGCCTGGGGGAGGAGAAATGGATTCAGCCCAAATGAGATCTCCTCTTTTTTCTCTTTTTCTTTCTTTCATTTTTCTAAATTCCTTTTGTTTTATTTTTCTCTTTTTTTCATAGTTAAATTAATTCCTAAATTAATCCCTAGAACCTAATTAACTTAAACGAAAACACTAATTAAACCTAAATGATAATTAACATAATTAATTAAAAATAAATTAAAAGGAAAACTACTCAAAATAAAAATTAAAATTAAAAGTGCAAATTAAACCATTTTTGTGATTTTCCCTCTCTTTTTTTATAAAATAACTTAATTAATCCTAACATGTTAAATTAAATCCTAAATGCAAATGCACATATATTTTTGTATTTTTTCATTAATTAAAATGCACAGACAAAATGCAAACAATTAACAGAAAATGCCACGAAAATCTATAAAATTGCAAATGGAAAGAAATTTATTTTCTTGAATTTATGGGAGTAATTCATATAGGGAAAAAATCACGTGCTCACAATACCATCTTAGTCGTGAGGTACAACTCGGGTGACAGTGCGCCATAACTAGCCCCAAGTGTTGTCATTGCCTCGCTTGGTGAGGTCCTGAGCATGCTCAAGTGATTTTGGGTCCGTATGTGTTCTTGACTTCCCAATATGCTTTGATGCCTGTTCAAATAACCAACAACTTGTTAGTACCTAAAAGTAAAAAGTAAAAGTCTAATGAAGCTAAAATAAACTACGAATTGAGTTGCCTTCCAACAAGCACCTTAGTTAATGTCACGATATGAAGAATACAATATTATAATGGGTTGACTCCCACAAAGTGCCTGATTTAATGTCGAGGCATGATGCAGTCAATCAAACTCAAAGTTCACTCAACACTTGAGGCTCCTTCAAATAAATCACAAATACAACATTTTCCTCATCCATGCCAAGGTAATGTTTCAACCTTTACCCATTTACTCTAAACCTGTTTGTACCATCCTTGGACTCAATTTATGCGGCTCCAATTAAGAATAATTGCACAACTCTAAATGGTTTTGACTATCGATATTTCAGTTTACAAGGAAATAATTTCAATATTGAGTTATACAATAACATGAAATCTCCGAGTTTGAAAATTCTCTCTTGATTATCATGCATCATCTTCATCCTTTCATTGTATAACTTGGTGCTCTCAAAGCATGATAACAGAACTCATCAAGTTCATGCAGCTCTGTGACTCTACTCGGGCCAGCAGCCTCCATGTCTTAATTGCCTTAACACCTAGAAATCCCTATGCTCTAACTCCACCGGTAAGTGACACGCCTTTCCAAACATCAATTTGTACGGTGACATGCCAATTAGAGTTTTGAATGAAGTGTCGTAAGCCTATAGTGCATTACCCAATTTTCTCGCCCAATCAGTTCGAGTAGCATTTTACAGTCTTGGTCAGAACACTCTTGATTTCTCTATTTGATACCTCTACCTGCCCACTTGTTTGTGGGTGATATGGAGTGGAAACCTTATGGCGAATGCCATATTTCTCTAACAACTTTGTAAAGGCTCGGTTGCAAAAGTGGGTGCCTCCATCACTAATGATCGCTTTAGAGTGCCAAATCAGGTGAAGATATTTTTTCTTAAAAAACCAATGACTCTTTTTACATCATTCATTGGGAATGCCATGACTTCTACCCATTTCGAGACATATTCCATCGCTACCAGTATGTACTTGTTACCATATGAGCTGACAAATGGTCCCATAAAATCGATTCCCCATACAACAAATACTTCTACCTCTTGAATTGGGTTCAAGGGCATCTCGTGTCGATTGGAAATGTTCCCTGTATGTTGGCACTCATCACAACTCTTTACGCAAAAGTGTGCATCTTTAAACAATGCCGGCCTATAAAATCCCAACTTCAACAATTTAGCAGTTGTCCTTACTCCTCCAAAATGGCCTCCATAAGGCAAAGCATGACATGCCTGCAAAACAAAAGCTTGGTCTATCTCAGGGATACATCTCTGGATTATGTTATCAATACAAATCCTAAACAAATATGGTTCAACCCATAAATACATGCGACAATCATGAAAGAACTTTTTCTTCTGCACAGAGGACAAATCATAGGGAATAATACCGTTCTCCGGGTAGTATATAATATCTACATACCATGGCAATACCTCAAGGCTCGTGGCTAAAACTTGTTCATCTGGGAAAGTCTCCACGTTATCTTCCACCTCAGCCTTCTTTTCAACTCCTTTAAATCTGGATAAGTGATCAACAACTTAGTTTTCTGTTCCCTTTTGATCACAAATTTCCAAGTCAAATTCTTGTAGTAGTAGCACCCATCAAATCAGGAGCGTCTTTGACTACTTCTTCTCAATTAGGTACTTGAGAGAACCATGGTCAGTATAATATTACCTTCGAGCATATCAGGTAGGACCTAAATTTGTCAAATGCAAATACCACTGCTAGCATCTCCTTCTCAGTCAAAGTGTAGTTTATTTGGACATCACTAAAGGTTCTACTTGCATAGTAGATTGGGTGCATGCACAAATGACCCGGCCGGTCGTTTTGAGTGTATTAGCCCCAATATCCTATTTATTTCCTTTCTATGTGTTATATCGTGGTTATGTGACATGCCGGGGTTCATGGTTTTAATTTCAGGTGAGTTTCAGGGTGAAATGGGATGCATAGTCCCTAAGTTGGAAGTTTAAGTCGTAGGAGTTGACCATAGTTTGAGTTGTATGAAGACGACTTCTAAAGAGAGTTTTAGTTCCAATATCTCTGTATGGTAATTTTGTCTTATGAGCGCATCCGGATGTTGATTTGGAGGTCTGTGGGTCATTTCGGCTTGATTCGGCGAAAGTTGGAAAGTTGGAGAATTTTTTAAAGTTTGATCGTGAGTTGACATTATTGATATCAGGGCTGGATATCGATTTCAGAAGTTGGAATTGGTCCGTAATTTCATTTAGGACTTGTGTGCAAAATTTGGTGTTAATCAAAGTTGTTTTAATATGAATCGACATTAGTTTTGGAAATTCAGAAGTTCATAAGTGCTTAGGATTAAATCGATGTGTGATTCATCATTCTAGTGTTGTTTGATGTGACTTGACACTTTGGGCATGTTTGTATGGTATTTTAGGACTTGTTGGTATTTTTGATTGAGGTCCCGGGGACCTCGGGTGTAATTCAGACCTTATTCGGCGCATTTCGGATCAATTAGGAATGACTGAAGTTCTGGTGCATCTTAATTCTGGTTTTCTCTTATGCAATCGCAAGAGGTAGGCCGCGATGGCGAAGCTGGTAAGTGTGTTTTTGTGCTATGCGATCGCGAGATAGCTTATGCGATCGCGTAGTTTGGAAAGTCAGTGCATCGTGAACGCTTGAGTAGTATTGCGTTCGTGATGAAGAAAGGGGAGGTATGGGAGGTGGATACACTACTCTTTACGGTAACGACTTGCTTCACGCGATCGTAGGTTTGGAAATGTTTGTCACCGTGTTCGCGACCAGCCTTCCACATTCGCATATAAGGTTGTTAAGCTGATGGAAACTTTGTTCTTCACAATTGCGAAAAAAATGCCGCTATCGCATAGTGTAAATCACTAGGTAGTAGACTTAAGTTTCAAAATCGAGGGTTTATTTTATAATTCACAATTTGAACTTAAAGAGCTCTGTTTGAGGCAAACTTTTGAGGGATTTTTGGACAGATTGTTGGAGTAAGAGTTCTTAACTCGATTTTGATTAAATTCTACTAATCTATCTTTGATTTCATCATTTAATTAGGGATATGAGTTGAAATTTTGGGGAAAATCGGGGGAACTTCTTAGGCCGAATTTTGGGGATTTGAGAAAAATTTTGGTATCGGATTTGTGTAATTTTTGTATGATTGGATTCGATATCGAATGAGTATTCATATTTTATAATTTTGGCCGGATTCCGAGAAGCGGGTCCAGGTTGACTTTTTGGGACAATTTTTCAATTCTTTGCTAAGATCTTAATTTCATTATTTAAATTAGTTTCCTATAGTTATATCTATAGTATGAAATTATTTTGGCTATATTCGAACCGTTCGGAGTAGGAAAATCGAGGGAAAGGCCTTCTAATTGATTGATTTAGCGTGGTTTGAAGTACGTGACTTGTCTAACCTTGTGTGGGGGAAATTTCCCTTAGGATTTGGTATTGTTGTGACAATTGTGATATGTGGAGGCTGTGTACCCAAGGTGATGAGTGCGTACATGCGCTAGATATTGAGATTTCAATTTTAGCTACGTAGTTTTCTTTGCATGCCTTAATTGAGTTACTTTAGCATGTTATAGTCACCATGTTTAGTTTAATTTTAGATGTCTACTTGTCTTATCTCTTATTTGCAACTTGTTATCATGTTTAGTTGAATTACTTGCTTTCTTAATTTTGTATTCATTATTTAACTGTGGAATTCTTTATTTGAAATTGTTATCCTTGAAATATCTTGCTATTGAGCTTGTTGTCGAGTTGCAAAGGTTGTGGTATTTATTGAGGCAAGGGATAAGTTGTGAAATATCATTTTATTTAGTTGTTAAGTTTTGGCATTCATGTTATTTTTGAGGTGATTGTTTGGTTGTTTGCACGAGGTTCCTACCATGTTGTTGTCATTGTTTGCACGAGGTTTCTGCCATGCTATTATTACTATTTCTGCTATGTTGTTGTGATTATTGATACGCATGTGGTGATATAAGTTCTAGGTATTGAAACACATGCGGTAATATAAGGTAAGCTTGATACGCGTGGCTAGTAGGGGAACTACTAGAATGTGGGGGTTATTTCTAGAAAAAAAAAATTTCAAACTAAATGTAAAGGTCCTCGTGGTGACATAAAGAAAGGCTGTGAGTTACTTTTATGATTTGGGACTACGAGGCGATACCTCGGGAATGCCCATGTTGACCTTTCTCTATATGATGTATTTGTTTGGTTATTGTTTCCTTAACACGTAAAATTCTTGTCTTCATTTCGTGTTGTATTAACTGCCTCGATTCTGTGTTGTTAACTTTTCATAAATTCTTTATTGTTTCACTTACTTTGTCATTATCATTATATCTTTATGTTTTTTATCTTATTTCTTATTATCTTCAGTAGGGCGTTGACCTGACCTCGTCACTACTCTACCGAGGTTAGGCTTGGCACTTACTAAGTACCATTGTGGTATATCCATACTACACTTTTGCACGTATTTTTGTGCAGATCCAGGTACATCTTACCAGTCTCGGTATTAGAGTATTGAGTTGCTTCTTTTGGAGACTTCAAGGTACATCAGCCCGCGTCCGCAGGACTCGAAGTCCCCTTCTGCCATGTTCTTCCTTGCTTCTTTAGATTTTATAGACAGTGATGTATAGGAGTGCTCAGTACTATATCTAGAGCTTGTGACTTATATCTCACCAGGTCTTGGGGAATTGTACATATCGAGCTTATAGTTTTTATTTATGAAATTATTGAAGTTTTTTCGCATGTTGTTAGGCTTACCTAGTCTTAGTGACTAGGTGCCGTCACGACATTCTATGGAGGGAATTTGGAGACGTGAAAGCATGACTTTCTCTTTCGCTTCCCAAGCATTGCTCCCACAACATAGTTGCTTACATCGCACATCAGCTCAAATGGTTTCTCCCTATCAGGTGTAGCTATGATAGGTGTTGACACTAGCCTCTTTTTTAGCTCCTCAATAGCTACCATGCAGTCATCAGAAAAACACAAAGGGGTTTTCTTTTTCAAGCAATTTACACAAGGGTTAACAATTTGGAAATATCTTTTATAAACTAGTAGAAGCCGGTGTGGCCAAGGAAACTTCTTATGGCCTTGGTGGAAGTGGGTGGTGGAAACTTCTCAATTACATCAACCTTAGCATGGTCCACCTCAATGCCCTTGCTTGACACTATAACTACCCGATCAGTCATTTTGTATAGTTGCACCCTGTTACCCCTTTATATGCATCACACATGTGAGTTTATAGTTTTATGACTTGCAGGATTGGTTAGATTCGTTCTGGAAAGCTTTCGGGTAGATTTGGACCCTTGACTCTTGACTTAGAAGTTTAAATAAGAAAATATTGATCAAACTTTGAATTTTGTAAAAATGACCCTGGAACTGTATTTACATGACTCCGATAGCTTCGTATCGTGATTTCGGACGTGGGCATATGCCAGAAATTAATTTTGAAAGTTTGTAGGTTGATTTGTGTTGATTCGCCGAAATTTGGCAATTTAAAGTTGAAATGTTTGAACGTAGGATGAATTTTAGCTATCGAGCTCGAAATTTGATTTTGGACTTGGAATAGGTATGTTATGGAATTTAGAACTTGTCTGTAAAATTTGGTGTCGTTTGGAGTTGATTTGATAGGATTCAGACATTTTGTTGTAACTTTAGAATTTCTTGAACTTTACTTTGAAATTCATAAGTTTTAGAGTTTAATCCGTAGTTTTAGATGTTATTTTTGTGTTTTGATCACGGGAGCAAGTTCGTATGATATTTTTAGACTTGTGTGGAAGTTTGGTTTTGAGCCCCGAGGGCTCGAATGAGTTTCGAACATATTTTGGAATAGTTTTGGACTGAAATTGGACTGCTGGTAGTGCTGGTGCTGTTGGTGATCAGGTATTGCAATTGCGAGCACCAGCATCGTGATTGTGAAGGTGACAGTGGGGGCTCTGATGGCGCAGTTGCAAATCCCCCTTCGCAATTGCGATGACTGCCATATTTCACCTCAGTTCTCATTTGCGAATAAATTGTTCGTTTTACGATGCCCACCAGTTCGCAATTGCGAAGCTTCTATCGCAATTACGATGAATGCTAAGTCTGTCAGGGTTCGCAATGCGACCCTGGTCCGCAATTGCGCGGGTTCGCAAATGCGAATCCTATGTCGCAAATGCGATATCTGCGGCTGGTTAAAGGGCTGGGAGACAGGATTTTTGAACTCATTCTCTCATTTTTGAACCCTAGACTCGGTAGGAGGTTATTAGGCGAGGGTATTTTCACCTACAAACCTTGGGTAAGTGATTCTAATTTATTTATAATCATATTCCATCAACATATCTTAGATTTTAACATCAAAATTATGTGAATTAAAGTGAAAAATTGTGAAACTTTGTCATGTTTTTTAAAAATAAGAAATTGAGTTTTGAGAGTCGATTTGGGCTCGGAATTTGAAACCAATCATATATATGAACTCGCGGGGTCATGGGTAGACGAAATCTACCATTGGACCCGTGTTTTGACCGGGCGGGCTCCCAGGTTGACTTTTGTTGACTTTTTAGGAAAAGTGCAAAGATATCAGCTTTATCTATTGCAACTGATTTTCCTAAAATTGCTTGATGATATTACGTCAATTTTGGGTAGATTTGAGCCGTGTGGAGGCAAATTGTAAAGGAAAAGCTATATCTGAGAGTTAAATTGGCCTAATTGAGGTATGTGTCTTGCGTAACCTTTTGTGGGGAAAACTATCCCTTAGAATTGGTATTGAATGATTTATTTTTATTATGTGAAATTCGTGTACGCAAGGCGACAAGTGGGTACATGGTTGTACTTAGTATTTGACCGGTTTAGGCTACTTATACTTCTTTCATGTCTTAAATGAATTGTCATATTATGTTCTACAGTCTCATAGTCAATCTATTATTACTTGTGTTAGTCTATCCTTACATGCCTTAAATGATTTCGTTAACACTTGTTCTACATTTTAATTGATAAATTGCTCTCATGCTTTATTTTAACTTGTTGCCTCTTTTGTCAGGACCCAAATTCTATTATAGGCCGTGATGGCGTACAACCCCATTGTTAGGCAAGCCAACACTGATCAACTAGTGAATTTACATTTTAAATAAATTAGTAAGTAGTGACTTTTTCCCATTTGTTAAGAAAATCTAGAAGGTTGCAATTCTACATAAATAAGTGGAAGCAACGAATAAAAATCGAAGTCATGTAAGCAAAACCAAAGTCATAAGTCTACTAGTGTGTATGCCAAGACCTGGTGTCACAAGTATGTGGGCAATCAGTAGAATATACAAAACAAATGCTAGCCTACTGTTTAAAAGGAAATCGACAGAAAATAAAGCATAAGAGAGACTCCAGCTACTGCAAAACGGCTCAAAAGGGTAGCTCACCGGGAGTCTCGAGTTGGGGAATCAATCTACGCGCCGGACTGGTGGTCAGATGAACCTACCTCAAATTCTGTACAATCAAGTACAAA